ACTTAATATTTTTTCTTTCTATGACTGTCTGAGATTAGACAGCCCAGGGACCTAGAGTAAAACCAAGTGATACTGGTCTACAGCCGATGGAAGCAAATATAGAGACCTGCTGCCAGATATTATGCAGAGATGGAGACCTTGGAACACACAGCTCTATAAAGGATGTCTCAATCAAACGCTCCATCTCAGAGCTCAGAGAACCCCATGGAAGACGAGGCAGAAGGAGAACAAAAGCCAGAGGGGATGGAGGACACCAAGAAAACAAGGCCCCCTAAATCAACAATGGCTACGCTCATATGATCACACAAAGAGTAAAGCGGCATGCACAGGGCCTGATGGGTCTGCACAGGTCCTTTGTGCTTGTATTATGCCTTCTGGTTTACTGATTACATGGGAGTGCTGAGTGTGTGAACAAGTGGGCCTTATGCCTTCTCTTGGACTCTTTCCTTCTGTTGGTTTGTCTTGTCCAACTTCTATATGATAGCTTTTGTTTCATCTTATATTTTATTTTGTTATATTTTTTAAATGGATGGTTTAATTAATTGATTAATTAATGAAAACCTAGCCATTAGGGTAAAGGTTAATAACTGAACTGTCATGTATACCTTCTGGGAGAAGGAAAAATGAGTTTTCTCCAATGGAATGACACTGGGCACAACAACCACTCCAGGGCAGGCCTTTAGTTCAGAAGAATTTGAGCAATATATAATAGACCCCACAGCTTTTGTATGTGCTTTTATTTGGTTACAGTTTGGTACTGGTTTGTTGTTGGTGTAGTTGCTGGTTGGTTGGTTTCTTTTTTGTTTTGTTTTGTTTTGTTGTTTTTGGGTGGTGTTTTATTCTGTCTTCTTGATTTTAAGGGATTTTTATTGTTGCATATGGCTTTTGTTTATGTTTTAAGAAAGATCTTAAAGTTGAGGGATCGGGAGGGGAGAGCACCTAGAAGGGCATGAAGAGGGGGAAGAGTATAATCAATATATGTTTTAATTTAAAATTGTTTTGAAAATAAAAATAATTACCACTGGACCTGATTTTTTTTTTTTAGAAATTGATGTTTGCTACTATTCTTATTTAATACAGGTGATGCCTCCCCTCTGGATAGTGTTGAGCTGAAAGCTTTGGTGAAATTCAAGATAAAGGGCTGCTTTCTCTGTCGAATTCAAAGTTTCCTCTTTTGGAAACCTGACCCATAATGCAAAGCAACCTGTACTGATGTGAGCTGTGCAGACTTTAGTACCTTATGTCAGAGTTTGGTAACCAGCTTCAAAGTTCCCTGTGGACATGGAAGTATGGTGGTGAGCTCCTGAGCCCACGGCAAAACCTACACCAGGGTCACAGACTAAGGAGAGAAATAAGAGGGAAAGCAACCATGTCCAGGCTCCAGGGTTGCCCTGGGTGGATAAACAGAACCAGGAAGGGCTCAGTACCCCAGCAGCAGCCTTTCAGAGAAAGACTCCACCAAACCATAGCTACTTCTGCTTCCCTCTTTCGCACAGAGCGGATGATATTTATAGGTGACCAAAGCCTTTCCTTTTCCCTCTCTTTGATGCCCACCTGGACAAGCTAATGGTATTACAGAGTCTCTTGTGTTTTGAGCTTAAATTATTGTTACCAGAAAGAAAAATGAAGCTGATCTTTGTGTTTGCTGACCACCTAGGCAGCTGCTTCCCTTTCCAGGGAGCCCTCGTCTCCCTGAGGCGTGGGAGTCAGCGCTTACTGGCACAATCATTTTGTTTGTTTTCTTTTAGTGCTAGGAATAGAACCCAGGGTCCTGCACATGCCAGGCAAGTACTCTACCACAGAGATGCACCCCCAGCCACCACTGTCACCATCATCACACCAATATCACATCACCATATCATCATCATCATCATCATCACACTGGCCCTACAGACACCACAGAAGCCGTTTACACAACCTCTGGTGTCTTGAGTGGGGCAGGGACATTTGTGTTTACTTCTCCCATTAGTTACTTTTTTTTTTTTTTTTTTTTTTTTTTTTTGGTTTGGGTTTCTCTGTGTAGCCCTGGCTGTCCTGGAACTCACTCTGTAGACCAGGCTGGCCTCGAACTCAGAAATCCGCCTGCCTCTGCCTCCCAAGTGCTGGGATTAAAGGCGTGCGCCACCACTGCCCAGCTCTTACTTTCTCATTGATGTGACAAGATACCCAACAACAGCAACGTAAGGGTATAGTTAACCCAACTTAAGTTTCTCTCCGTCTAGCTTACAAATGAATGAGACTCAGACTGTGGTTATTTTATTTGGCTTTGACAATTACTGGGGGTGATCGCTAATCTACTTTTCTAACTGCAGGCCTGGCTACCTCCCCAGTGGTGTACCACAAACACTTGCTGTTTCTCCCGACAGTGTGCTCATGGTCCATCTCCACTCGTGGCAGCTTCCTCTCTCTCCCTTCTGTCCATCTTGCTTCCTCTGCAACCCCCAACCAGGTAAATCAAAACATGCCTACCTTTTATCCCTCTAGTAATTGCCTGTAGCCATTTTTAGGGAGGAATAAGGACAGCGACCCAACCACAAAACCTTCACCCCAAAATGTGTCCTGCCTACAAGTTGTGCAGGAACAAAGACAGAGCAGAGACTGCAGGAATGGCCAACCACTGACTGCTCCAAATTGAGACCCATCCATGAGTAAGAACCAATCCCTGACACTATTAATGATTCTCTGTTATGCTTATAGACAGGAACCTAGCAAAACCACCGTCTAAAGGCTCCACCCAACAGCTAATGGAAACAGGCAGAGACCCACAACCAAACATTAGATGGAACTTGGGGAGTCTTGTGGAAGAGCTGAAGGAAGAATTGAGGGACACAAAGAAGACAGGGACTCCAGGGTATGACTAACAGAATTGACAAATGTGGACCCTTGGGGGCTTCCAGAGACTGCACCACCAACCAATGAGTGAGCACAGCCTGGACTTAGGGCCCTGCACATATGTAGCAAATACTCAACTTAGTCTTCACGTGGGTCCCCCAACAACTGGAGCAGGGGCTATCCCGGAATCTGTTGCTGCCTACAGGAACCTAGTATAACTGTCTTCTGAGAGGCTCCATTCAGCAGCCAATGGGAATAGTTTTAGATTAAGAAATAAGGTTTGCACAACAAGGTTTGGTAAACATGAGAATTCACTTGGAGATAACTAGATCCTTGGGTACTGAATTCAGCATAACAATACATAGCTGTAGACCAAACCTCGACAATTCCCATTCTTGTCTCAATAAAAGACTCTTTCTCTTATAATAATAAACAACATACAGTAGGAACAATTATGAAACAATTATGAAAATTATTAGGCAAGAGTTATATTCAAAAAGTCCACTCTGTTTATATTTGGCAACCCAGGAGAAAGTATTCTGTTATCTATACTATCCTGGTGAGTTCAAAGTTCCGTATCGAAATCAATTTCTATTCTAACTTGCATTATCAAACTAAAAACACCATCTTAGACCTTGAACATCTTAAATCCTAGACAACTTAAGCTTACGGTAAGACTATGACTATCTAGTCTTCAACACCATCAGAGACTTCAGGATACTGAAATACTTGAGTATTCTGGAAGTACAGTCAAGCACTTCCAAAATTATAGAAATGACAGACGGCGGCTCCCCAGTATCTAAAACATTGGAACATCATAAGGTAGGAAGTGTTCAGTGTGTCCAGGGCTGGTTGGTTGTGTGCACAAGGAGCAGGTGAAGTAACCCTGTGGCCACAGTTGTGCACTCTCCCATAGAGTTTACACAGACTGCAGAATGCATGCCTTCCTCTGCTTACTGGGAAGGATGCTGCCAGGTCTGCCCGCAGCATCCTTAGACTTCCTGCTCCATGCTGGGAGTTGTGAGGCGTCACCTCAGCTGGCCCTTCAGCTGCAGAATGTCACTTTGCCAATGCCCAACTCCCCCCTAGACACCCTGCCTTGCCACTGACTGATTGACACTGGTATCTAAAGACTTGGCATCCCTTTGCCAACTTGACCAAAGGCTTTCCCGCCTCTCAGGCTTCCTCACAAGATGACCTGCACTTCCTCGGTGCCTGCACCACTGCCCACTCCTCTGTCCCTTTCTTCCCCAGAGCCTTTCACAGGTCCTGTGCCAATCTGCATCTGCCCTTGCTCCGGCCATCCTACCTGAAACACTGCATTGTCACTTAAATCTGTTTATTCTGAGACAGGTCCTCATGTAGCTGAGTGAACTTGCTTGACTTGAGTGAACTTGACAGGTCCTGAGTGAACTTGCTGTGTAGCCAAGGATAAACTTGATCTCTCTATTCTCCTGCCTCTGCCCCCCAAGTTCTAGGGTGATAGTCGGGCACCATCATGCCTGGTTTTCTCCTTACTTATCTGATAACTGTGAACAGCCTGTAGCTATTGATATTTCACAGCTCATGTAATGACAGATGGATTTATTCACTTTAAGTTTTTCCCTATGTGGAATCCAGCACACATCTTTTGGGAATTGGGTGTCCACTTCCAGCCTGAGTTTGGGGCTCAAACTCAGGTTCTCAGTCTTGGTGACAAGTGTCCTTACCAGCTGAAGCATCTTGCTGTCCTGTGACAGCTGTTTTAAAACTGTGTTTGATGAATACATTGAGTTCTTAGCGGTCAGTGTGGTATGTTGGGAAGCCAAGGGTGTGGGGGTAACATGGGCCTGGGGCTCCCCTTTCCCTTCCCTCATTCTGAAGTCTTCCTTCATGCCCAGCTTTCCCATCCCCCACCCTGACCAGGCTCCTGCAGCCCCCTTGCTCTTCCATTCCTGAGAATAAATCCTGACCATCTCCTTTCCTCTCATGGCCTCTGCTCCACATGGGACAGGTGGGCTGGTCAGAAGGGTCTGGCCCAAGGGCAAGATGGGCTTGGAGATCCAGCCAGGACTCCAAAGGGCTCTAATTCTGTCATCTACCTTCAGTGGGTATGTCTTGGGTGGAGAACAGAAAGTTTAAGCTAAAGAGGAAGTTGGAGAATGAGTAGCAGAATGGGGGAAGGGAGGAGAAATGAGCATTCTCTTACTTCACTTTCTTCTTGGGCTTCCTCAGACCTCCTCAGCCCTGGCCTTATGAGGCAGGGGATCACAGAGTCTCTGAGAGCCTTTATCTAGTTCAGTGCAGGGGCCTAGATTCAAAACCTGTAGCTGGAGGATCCACAGGACCACACAGGCCTTGTCCAGCTTCCCTCTTGTCCACAGAGGTCTCTGGCCTCCTCAGTAGTTCATGCAGGACTGGCTGTGGTGACTCCTGAATCCTCCCCAGGACAGCTCTCCTCTCTTCAGAGCATCCCTCCCCATCCCAGCTCAGGAGGAGGACTGACTGATGGCTGGCAAGGCTGCATACCTGTTCTCCGCAATCCTGCTGCTGCTCCTGGCCTCAGGTGAGGACAGGGAACAAGGACAGAGGGAAGGAACCAGGTTGAAGAGGGGGCAGGGGGCAGGAGGTATGCACAGTGGAGCTCTGTGCTTGGGCAGGCAGAATACATGGGGCACTGTGGCCAGCTGCTGGCTGTAAGCATAGACACAAAGAGGGTCATTCCCTGAGAAGGGAACCCACTTCCTCCCGCTGCTGCAGAGGATGGGGCTCTCTGACATGATGCGTGTATTCCCAGGCTCCTGGGCACAGGACCCACAGGTACTTCGAGCACTGGAGGGCCAGACTGTTTCTGTGAAATGCCGGTATAATCTCAGCTACAGCTTCAATGAGAAGATCTGGTGTAAGCAAATATCAGAAGATACTTGTCAACCCTTAGTGCCGAGCGTCAGCACAGGTGCCGAGAAGCTAAGATTCTCCATCCAGGACTCTTGGTTGAAATTCTTCACTGTCGTCATGACTGAGCTCAAGATGAGCGACTCAGGCGTCTATTACTGTGGGATCGCTGAAAATCGCAGAAAGATCGCTTTTCTTGGAAGTATCCATCTGGTGGTGTCAAAAGGTGAGCGTCCCCCTTCTATGTGGCTTTCAAGCCTTGCTGAGCCACAAGGCTGTAGATTGGAGAGGACTCAAGAAACTGCTTCTTCCTCTAGTAGAGGGGTCCTCACCCTGTGGGTTGTGAGTCCCATAGGGGGGTCACACATCATGTATCCTCTGTGTCCAATATTTACATTATGATTCATAGTAGCAAAATTACAATTATGAAGTAGCAATGAAATATCTTTATGGTTGGAGTTTACATAACATGGGGGACTATATTAAAGGCCCACAGCTTTAGGAAGCTTGAGATCCCCTGTTCTAGTACCTGAAAACTGAGGCACAAAAAAAAGACCCCTTCCCCAAGGCCATCAGCTTGTTAGGTTTGGGGCCAACCCCAGGACCCAAGTTTGCTGGCCTCTGGGAAGAAACTGGTAAGAACCAGTTAATCTGAACACTTTTTCTGCTGTTGCTATTGTTCCATTCGTTTTTTAAATATTTATTTAATTACACTTGTGTGCGCGCGCGCATGCCCATGCTGTGGTGGACACGCAGATGGTCTCTCGGGACTCATGTGTGTGTGCATGTTCATGCTGTGGCGGCCATTTTTTGTGTGTGCGTGTGCGTGTGCGCGCACATGCTGTGGCGGACATGCTGTGGCGGACATGCAAATGTTCTCTCGAGACTCGTGTGCGCATGCTCATGCTGTGATAGGCATTGTGTGTGCGTGCGCATGCTCATGCTGTGGTAGACATGCAAATGTTCTCTCGGGACTCGGTTCTCTCCTTCTACCATGTGGGCTGAATTTAGGTCATTGGGCCTGGCAGCGAAAGCCTTCATCTGCTGAGCTATCCTAACTATTCCACTAATTTGGAAGAATCTTTAAGGTCGCTCAAACATCCACAGCCTTCGATTCCTGTCTCTTGCCTGTAATCCCATCAGAACCCTCTTCAGTGCCAGTGGGCTCTGGCACACGGAGACCTCAGGGCAGATGGAGGGCGTCACTAAGCAACGTGTCAGAGAGGAGTCAGAGAGACAGTGAGGAAGACTCAAGGGGGAGAGGTGAGAGTCCTGACTTTCTCCCAGAATCTTCCTATGAGGTACATTTCAGGACATTAGTAAGTGGACACTCCTCTACATGGATTCCCCTTGGGAAGCACAGTTCAGTAAAAAGTGAACAGTAGACTTGGAAGACACTTGGGTTCCGTTTCCCAAATCTCTACTTAGAAGTTACATTCTTAGGAAGTATCTTGCAATCTACCCTCCTCCCAAGATGCCAGTGGTGGCCCTTGGCACCATCGATGTGCATCTCAGGCCTTGCTGTGGGCATGAGCCACATGAAGATCTTGTTTCAAATGCAGACCCTGCCTCAGTAGACCTGAAGCAGCACTTGCTTATGAGGAACAAGTCTCTGGAGTTATTTCCATAGGGATCATGTGCTTACAAGTCCCCACTAAGGATTTCTGAATTGGCTCTGCATCCCCAGCAAGCAACAGAGGATGTGTCAGGGACAGCCTCCCTAGGAGAGGCCTCCCTTCCTAGAACCAGGACAGTCTGTGCCAAGCCAAGACAGGGCTCAGTCACAATATCCAGTAAAGGACAACTTGAGAGTGACATGACTTACAGAGTCAGCGGGAACGGTGTCAGGGAGAGGATGGGTCAGGTGGAGCCTGAGCTGCAGCAGACGAGAGAATTCCCTCAACTACAACGGCCCGAGAAGTCCTTCCTCATGCCTCTTCCCACCCTTTCTCCTTTTCACCCTCCGTTCCTGTTGTACTGACAATGACTTAGGATGACTTTACACTGTTTCTTTGGATTTTAGCAAAAGAAAATCTTGCTTCTTGGATGGCTTTGTTCATTTCCCTCAACTGCTCCATTTCTCTTCTCCTACTCAACTGCCCATCATCCATCTGTCCATCAATTCATACATACATACATACATACATACATACATACATACATACATCTGTCCCTCCATCTATGCATCCACCCACCCACCCATCCATTAATTATCCACCCATCATCTATCTACCTTCTGTGTCTTCTCGCAGGTTCTCAATACCCACCCAATGACACAACTACGACCCGATCTGTACCCAAGTCCCCTGCTGTTGTCTCCTCTCCTGATCCTGGAGTCACCGACATAAATGGGACAGTTCCTGGCAGGTATGTTTCCTTGGCTCCTGGTTTGGACACCCTTCATCTCTTCGTCCTTTTGTTGAGAGGATGTGGGGATGAGGGTGTGGGGATGAGGGTGTGGGGTGGATGGAGCAGGATCAGACATGAGTCACCTCTCAGTGTGTGTGGAGATCTGCAGAGAGGGAGGAGGTGACAGGCTGCATAGGTGACTTCTGTTCTCCCCAGCTCACCTTCCCTGTTTTCTTGCATGTCAGAGTACTAAGGATGGAAATGGCATTTTTGATGAAGGCTATTAGTCCTGCCAACCCGGAAGTAGGGTGAATTCTCATGATTCTCGTGTCAGGTAGACTAGCTGTGTCTGTAACACTGGGTGAGCCAGGGACCCCTGTGACCCACCAGTTCCCAGGGAGACTGTTGAGATGCTAGAGGACCAGAGCTAGAGGAGGCTGTCCCCTGCCTC